ATAAAGTGTGCTCAGGAGCTCCCTCTTGTGTGCATTTCTGGGTATAACAGACTAAATATTCCCCTCCAAGCCCTCCGATTCCTCCATGCTTTTTAGAACATTTTTATCGTAGCACAATGCTAGCTAAAGATGTCTGCCTCCTTCCAAAACAAAGTCCTCTTCATGGTATGCAGTATACTTAGTGTGAGATCCTGTATTCTTAATATTTTCTGTTTGGGCTGCTAAGTTGTGCTGATGTTATTGGTTCTTACACTGGTTTTTTCCTGAATCCTGACCGGCTGACATCTTTCTCTCGGGTCCGTCAGAGGTCTCACCTTCACAGCCCTCCTCTTCCTCGCTCTCCTCCGGTAGAGGATCATGGGAACTCTCCACCTGGAACCTGAATGCAATCGAAGGGTTTAATGTCGTACAAGGTTTTTTTAGTTTTAGATTTTTTTGACTGCAAAACTGCCATAAAATACACATTTAAAAAGCACCTTAAACTGTTTCTCAAAAGTTCCCAGTCATGCAATCACTGATTTTAATTTTGTAATGTCATTGTCTGAACGTGTGTTTGGATTGATTTTGTATTTTGTGATTTTGTGTTGTTTTGTCTTCCTGCCTCAGGACGACAGACGCGAATTAGCAACTATGCTAGAATCTGTCTCATTTACAATCTGTATGAGATTGTTCATTAACTCATTGGCTGCCAAAGACGTCTATAGACGTCTTTTATGTTTTTCAACGAGAGTGGCTTGGGGGACGATCTGCTAAAGCTTGTCCGTAAATATCAGGCTTTTAGACAGAGTATGTACTAACAAATTGACCCTCTAGGGGGCAGTGCCACTTTTGATGGGAGATGAGCATAGACTGTAGGCAAATAAAAAAAAAACACAATGGTTCGCTATGCGAGAAATGGCGCCGGTGAGACGCAAGTCGAGGAAGAACGGAATAAGGTAGAAACAAACATTTTTTCATGATGAAAGAAGAGAGTCTACTCTTTCTTTTGGTGTGTTGGGTGTTTACATAGTTATAGCACAAACTTTTCTGTGGCTCTTGAAAAATCAGTCAAAATGCTCAAAAAACTCTGGCTGTATGGGACTCTCTGTTCTGAAAATGGCTGGCAGTCAATGAGTTAATAAATAAATAAATATACCACTATAAAAAAAATATAAAACGTCGACAAGTTGGAACTCACCGGAGTCCGAGGAGGACGTCCATGAACGTGGCGTATCCGGCGTCCACCAGCTCCTTAGCAACATAAACGCCGTCTGACAGGACGTCCACCTTCCAGTAGGAGTTGGACACAAACTCCCTAAAAAAGACCTGCAGGTTCCTCCGGTTCAGACACTGTTGGAATAGCGCCGTCGCCTCATTGGTCCACTGTCCACCGACTGGCTCCACCCCCCTCAGGACGCAGGGGCAGGTTAGCATGGGGATGTTGGTTATCTCCACGGGGAGCGCCCTCAGCCGGGAGGAGTCCCGACCCGACAGGTTCTGATACCCGCCGAGGTCCACGAGCCTCAGCGAGACTCCGCCCCCAACGCCGACGATTTCAGCCCGCCGCCATTTTTGTTCCGAGTCCGACTTCCACAGGCAGCCGGCGCCCGGGACCCGGTGGGCCTCGGGGAGCGGGGGGGCGCGCTCAGGGAGGTCGTCCAACATGGCCGCCAACTCGTCTCTGAGATGCCGCAGATGGTCGGGAACGAGGAAGAAGTCGGAGGGGGAGGCGACCGTTGCCGTGGAGGTGGAGTAACGCCGGTCTGAGGCCAGTGGGGGGGGGGGGATCCGCCCAGGGACCCCGGAGACTTCTTCCTTTGGTTCCTGGTTCTGCTTCTGGGGTTCCCCACTGGACGAGGTTGTCTCTCCATTTTGCGACGGCGAGGTTTGGGCGTAACGATGGAGGAGAACTTCCACCTCCCAAAGATCGTCAAACTCCGAACGCCTCACGAAAACCACCCGGACTTCAGTTCCAGTCTTCGCTTTGAGAGTTTCACACCAGGTTTTGGAGGCGCTGTTCGCCTTGCATAACAGCGCCAGGCTCGGGAAGTTCATCAGCTCTCCGTGTCGGTGTCGAATCGAGACGATCGAAACTTCTTCCACGATTCCATGATCCACAAGGAAGACCTTCCACTTGTCAGAGATCGGATGCAGAACCACAGCTCGGAGCCACCGGAGTCGCACCTGGACTAAGCACTCCAGACCTCGTGCGATTTCGTATTCGGAAACCGTCACACACCTGTGAACGTTATCGGCCACCAGTCGTTCCAGGGCGGTGAGCAGGTCGTTTGTCTTTTTGAGTCTGATGTAAAAACTGCCGTCACTCTGGACGGACAGAACCAGTCCGTCCTCGACCTCTCCCACTTTAACAACTGAATGGACGATCGTGTTTGAGTTACGACTTCCTTGGACCGAACGCATTTCCCTTCTCTGTTTCGTGCTTTTGGTCCACTTCCGTCTCACAGCTCTAAAGGTTCTGACCTTCGGTTTGGTTGACAGATGGACCTTTAAAGGCTCGGGTGATGAGTTCTTCCCTTCATAGGTGGAAACGACTCCCCTGAACTCCTGCTCAGGGCCTCCTCTTAGGGACTCCTCTCTGAGGTTCTCCTCAAAGGTTCTCCCCTTCTCTTTAGTTTCGGGCAAACTCAACCGGGAATCTTCTGAAGAAAAACTGCTTTTAGGTGTGTCAACGAGTCCAACATCCTTATCGAGAACTTCAACCTTGACGTGCCACTGAAGTCCACTTCGTTGAACAAAGTCCACCATAAGAGGCTTATCCATCACAGCATCAGCAAAGGATTCACTGCTATCGTATAAGCTTGAGTTCAACAGTGAGCACGGGATGCTGAATCTCGGCAGGGATCGATACTCTCCCGGTAGAGAATAGATATTTTCCTTCAAAACGACTGCAGAGTTCCCGTAGTCTACGTACTCCACCCTGAAACGGGATCCGTCTTCTTTGGTCTTCAGGACGGAGCGATACAGAGCAGAATCCTCCTCGAACTCGGCCAAAACCACGTCATTTATTTCAAACGACGACGGTCTCTTCAAGGAATCCCTTAGAGCTGCCGAGCGGAACTGTTCGTACATTTTCAAGATGGCGGGTTCGTCCTCGGACAGCTGCAGAAAAAAGCTGCTGGCAGAGTCCAGGTGGGACACGAAGCATTTCTCCCTCGAGCCGGTGCGCAAAATTTTTCTGGGCAAACATGAAAACTTTCTGGGAGTTTCTGCTTCTCTGATGTGTTTAATTTGCTTTGCATCCTGCTGTTGATCCAGTTTGGGGTCCCTCTGGGGCTTTACAGGAGCATAGCAGTTGGTCAAACTCTTAGTTTGTTGTTTTGCTTCGGTTTTATAACTTCTTAGCAATATTTGCGTGATATCTTTCCCGCGTTTGCCCTTAAAGGCTTTTGTGGAAGTGGCTGAAGTTTTCTCTTTGCGCACGTTCATGCACTTGAATGGTCTCTGCTTGTTTCTGGTTTGATGGAATTTAGATTTGATCTCTGAGCTGCTTTCAGCAAACCGAAGGGCTGTCATGGGTTTGGGCAAAAGACTGAGGATTATCTCCTTTAACTTTTCATTGATGTTCATCTCTCCGTCGAACAGCTCGACGTCGAATGATCCGTCTTCCCTCTTTCCACACACGACGGCCTTCACTAGCTTGTTGAGAACCGCTTCGTTCAGCCACTCTTTGGCTTCTGCACACAGCTCCTCTTTGGGCACCGAGGCCAGGTTGAATCTCACAGCTTGAATCGGCGTGCACAACAGATCTGCGCAGTCCCGAGGAATGAAGAGGACTTTGTTTTTCTCGCAGATGTTTGAGTTTCCGTAGTCCACGTAAAACACGTTCAGGTGCAGAGGCGACAGCGTGGGCATCGCCAGGCCCCGGTACCAGTTCCCATCCATGTACTCGGCCAGGCACAGCTTCTTCACTTTAGCTCTCGTTGTGGGTTGCGCCATTTTGTCAATCTCCTCCGAAATTCTTCTTTCGAGCTCGTCGATGATTTCGGTGTTTCTATCGAGCTGGCAGTAGACCTCACACTGACTGCTGACGTGGGTGATGAAGACCTGTTCCTCGCCTCCTGGACATAGATCGAATGCAGAGTAGACAAAGGACTCCAGAGACGCTTCTGATTGGTGCTTCGTTGAAACGCCTGTTTCCACGGCGACCCCCTGTTCTAGGAGCGTAGTTGTGATATTCTGCTTTGTCCTGGCGTTGTACAGACACACAACATTGCACAGCCCTTTGTTTTTCACATCCAACTGGGAGACAACTTTACAATTCAGGCTCCCTGCACTGCTGAGGATGAAATCTTTAAGCAACTTGCATGCATCTGGCATCCATTCCCCACAGTTCTCCTGGTCTGCCGCCTCAGTCGGATTGTGGAGGCAACACCTGAAAGCTTGTCCTTCCAAACTCACATATTCAGGCATTATTGCTTGAAGACTCTGTTCTTTGACCTGAATTAAAGAGCCATAGTCAACCAGCAGCACTGTGACATGAGCCTTCTCTTCTCCTGTGATGAAGCCCCTGTACCATCTTCCATTGTGTGGCGACTTTGCGACACAACACAACTCACCTGGCTGGAGGGGAATGTTTTGAACTGAGTAATATTGATTGATTTCGTCCATTAGTTTCTCCAAATCTGGGACTGTACCTAAAGGTTGGCACCAAAATTCTGACGGAGAGTTGATGCAAGAGCAGCATACAGCCAAGTCAAACCCTGGCTTGATATTTAAACTTTTCAAGCTAGCAGTAGCTTCCGCTTGGTCACTTTCCTGCTTGACCACGTTCTCATAAAGTTCACTTTCCTCCCAGTGCTCTGACGTTCCACTGTTGTCCAAACTCATGGTGTCTTCGGAGCACTTTCCTGTTGCTGTCACTTCTTCAAATGGATTTATGTGGAGGTGTTCATCCCCATAAAGATCATATTGGACCAAGAGCTCGGCGATGGTTTTATTGCTTCCCATCTCGGAGAGGTCAACAACAAGTTTGCTGTTCCTGATCTCGACAACGCGGACGTGCACGGCTTTGTTTGACACGATTTTCCTGAAAAAGTCGCACGAGGCGCTGGACCAGAAATCATCCAAAGGAAAGACGTTATCAAGAGTGCAGCAGACGGCAAACGCAGCTTTGCTGGCAAATGTCTCCGGTATGGTTTTGATCAGCATGTGGGGCACTTTTTCAACGTTCCCAAAGTCGATGAAGAGGACTTCAGCTCCGTGCGTGAGCGTATTTGTCACAAAAGCCCTGTAGAAATGCATGTCTTTCTCATACAGTGCGCAACACATTGCTCCAACATCTGGGTTTATAAGAATGTCTTCATCCAGCTCAATTTGACTGAAGTGATCTGTCATTTTGTCCATCATTTCCTCAAACTCATCGTTACGTTTCTGAGTTCTGATCCAGAAGTGATGGGGATTCTGGGCATGTTCCACATAGCCCACAAAGGCAGAGCCCACCTGCACCTCCTCCGTGTCCAATGCCTCGTCCAATACTTGATTTAAGACAGTTTCATAACACACATAGCCTCCCTGAGGTGAAGTTCTCTCAGAATCATTAACTGTTTCACTGGGAGCCTTTTGGTTAGATTTGGGTTCTTCCTTTTGTTTATCTTCAGAACTGATAAAAGTGATAGTGTAAAGGTGCTGTTCATTGAAACCATTGATCTGCGCTTTCAAAATCCCTCCAAGCAGTCCCACCTTGAGCAAATGCAACTGCTGAGCTTTGAGGGTTTGGTCTTGATCAGTCAGGGAGGGAAGAGAGCACGGAAACGCCATGATGGGGGTTGAATAAAAACGAGGTGGCAAACTGTGGACGTTCTCAGCTTTGACATATTCGGAGAACCCATAGTCTGCGAACAAAACTCGTATTTGAGAGTTGACTGGAAGGGACAGCAAAAAGCCTCTGTACCATTTCCCATCTTTTCTTTTCGCCACACACAGCGGACCCAACTTCTCTGGAGTCTTTGGACTGTGCTCTTTTGTTTTACACTCACAAATCACTGCTAGTTCCTTTGACAGTTGGCAAAGCTCCGCCTTCACACCAGCCTTTTGACAGTAAAACAGCCCAGGGTTGACGGCAGCTGTCACTCGCACTCTGGCACGTGTCCCACAACTCAATCTCGCCCCACAGAAAGACAAAAAATCTTTATATCCCTTCAAGGTGTATGATTTGAAGCTAAACTGTTGTGTTGGCTCAGTAATTAGGTCAGGAAGAGGCTTCATGTTTTTTTTGAGTGACACTTCTGTAAGCATTTCAACCAGGAAGAGGAAGGTGTCCGTGTCCACTTGCCTCGCAAATCCATGTTTCACAAGGTCTTCGTTGATGTCGAGAGCTTCCAAAAGGATGATACTGTGAGGAAGGACGGCTTGAATGAAACCTTTGATGCTTCTGCCAGATAGGCTCGACAAATAGTCCACAACAGAATGAGAACAACTCTGAAGAAGCAGCACATTTGCAAGAAAACCACAGACTATTTTTGGAGGAAGGATCAACAGGTCATTAGAGCAGGATGACACGTGGCTAATGTCGACACTCAGAACGTTGCCATGATCGATAAGAAATACATCAAACTTGTCCTTATTTTGGTTCTGAATTCTTCCTCTGTACCAGTGAGCTGAAGACAAATCTTCTACGAGGCAAAACTCCCCAACTCCCACGGCAACCGGCGTCTTGGGGACGTTCTGAATTTCTCTCTGCAGAATGTTATAGTCGAGCTCACATGTGGTGAGGTACTGGCCCTGGAAGTGAACCAGCGTGGCCTCGGGGCTCCAGTCCAGGTGAGTCAACTTCAGCTCCACTGGCCAAAGGCCACAAGTTGCAGACTGGCCTGAATCTTGAATCCTGCAAAAGAAACCAACAGACATGAAACATGAATCACACATTCATACCCGCTAATAGTGAACTGTGCTTTGTTTTTTAGTTGTTGTTTTTTTTATTAGTGATTTTGCTGTTATTTTTACTGAATGGATGTTTTATTTTACAATTCCTGTAGTATAATTATGAACTAATCGTGGACCTAATGTCATGATAAAATAAGTCTTTAAATGCATTCTATGTACAAGTTCTCAAATCTATATGAAGACCAGCAGAAAAAGCACAAAAACACAACTTAAATTATTATTTCAGTGCATTTTCACTTGGCTCAGCAGACTGTACAAACAGGAAGTTCAAGTATTGAAGGTTTTTGGAGGGATTTTGTAACATAGGTTCTTAGAGTTTACGTCATTACTTGTGTAGCATCAGCAGACTGTTAATAGCTAAACTTAACTTGCATTATTGGTTTATCAAATATCTAACTTCTAATTTTTTTTTAATCAGCTGTGCACATAGAACAAAATTTGAATCTTTATTTTTACAGAATAGGACACGTAAAAGTAGAAATACCAATAAAAATACAACAAATTTTCAAAATGATTGCTTTATGTTGTAATGTCATTAAGTACAGCAATCATACTTTTCATGATAAAGAGAAACAAAGAGTTTTATACGTGTTTTAAAGCTCATGTTTATCTTAAATACAACACAAACAGTCATGACTTTGGTATGTCCTGTGCATAAATAAACAATTACTGTTTATTTACCAGTTAAATTTTTACCAAGGGTTAAGTAAAATGGTTTAATGTAATACTTTCCCACCTATGGTGATGTGCCTTTTTGTTCATTATAAAGGGCACATATATAACATATACAAAAACTATGTATAAACAAGTAAAACATATTTGATGTAAGATCCATTAGAATAAATAATATAACCAAGAACAACATTTAATTTAATATCGAACAACAAATTGAAATGACATTCGCTAAAAGAAGTTATCAATTATCTCAAACTTCAGACATATAAAAAGCTGCTTACTTTAACTTGTTTTACTTACATATCATTATCTGGGCCCCCCATGGACTGCATGGTAGCAAAGTAAGGAATAGTCACATCTCCAAGAGAACCTGTGGAAAGGAAAATGTTTTTAAACTTAATTTCTGCAAACAAAAGCATAAGTGAAAGGGAAAAGGGGCTACATCTGCATTTTGATTATTAAAATCCATGACAATAACGTCACAAAAATACAGAATAGGTCTGTTAGGTTTGCAAAGTTAAATGTAATTAATCTCCATATGTGACGGTGACTTATGTTTCAGATAAATATTAGTCTGTGTCACACTTTGGACACGCGCTCACAATGAAGACAAAAATCAACAAAGACAACCCAGGACTGTCCCATGTTTTAATTAAACTTTTTTTTTTGTAAATGTAAAAGACATACAACAATCCCAAACCTCATTCAAACCCTGAATGTAATTTTGGTGGAACTTGTTAGCATCACATGAATCCCATGTTTTACTTTCAGTTATTTGATTTAGTCATATAACTGTTTAGGCAAACCCCTGTCAGATAAGGGTTAATTTGATATTTCATCATGGTTTTTATAAACTTTTGTTATACTACAAGCTGACGTGGTCACTGTCATACAACTAGCTCACGTGCTTTTAAATATGTCATTGGTGGGGAAATGGCGAAGATTATCATGAAAAAAGTCGACAAACAGAAATATACAACTGTCTAATTAGCTTGAATGATAGCTCCTGTCATTTCTTTTAAGATGTGACGTTTATTTATTTGGTAAACAATAGCTTCCCAAACGTACCTGCTAACGGATGCGGTGAAAAACTCCATTAGCCTTAAAGGTTACTTTATGCTAATTACCTTCGCCGATATATTATTGCGAATTTAGCTTGGTCTAAGTCCATCTAAACGGCTTTAGACGGACGGTTTTAACTCTAAATAAATCGCTTTTAGGGGGTAAATCTGTGCTGGAAGTCACCTGACCCACCTGCTAACGGCCGAACCGTCGAACCGGGACGTTGGCGCCAAAACTCCGCAGTCCGCCACACTTCTTCTTCTATGGTTTTTATTCGTTGTTGTTTTTTAGCAAAACAACGAATTTGGACTTTTACCGCCACAGGTGGGTACGGAGTGTGTCTCATAAACGATGAACTCGTTTTTATAGCTCATGTTTAAATATGCCGTGATTTTAAACGTGGTATTTGCGTAAATTTGAACATTTTTAATCAATATTTGGTATTAAAAGCTCTTCTCCATCACCACCCTTCCATAGAGAGCATATCTGAGCTTAAATACGAAGAAATTAGTAGTGTGTGATTTGTGTACATAACTGTAGATAATTAAATCATACTCCTAAACATAAGTATTGTTATATACTTGATAAAGGTTTCCTCCATTAGCTCTCTACTTCCATCATGTCCAAAAACCATTACATTTGTGCATTAAAGAAAGTATTGAATTGCTCAAAGAAAGTATTATGTGTTGCCTACATGGATTTTATACAACATTTTTCAGACATAATGCACCCACAGGCATATTGGAGGTAAAACTACCCAGATAAAGTGAAAACACAGTGGATCTGTGTGTGTTTAACCTGATGCAAAGGGCCGGCTGACTGTGGGAGGCAAGATGGACGGATGGACAGATGGATGAGGGTTTTTTTGTTAATCATTAATAAACTGGATTAGCTCAGTCTTCTGTAAATATGATGAATGCATCTAAGGCTTCATTAGCTCTGCCCTCACTCAGCCCAGCTTTGTCCCTGTGAGGTGATTCTTTCTACCCAACCAACAACAAAAACTGCCTTTTTATTCCCCTTTTCCTGCAGTTTTCCAAAATGCTGGACCTGATGGTGATCTTCTTTATCTCGTCCTGGACTTGTCTGATGGAGGACCTAAAGAACTACTTCTGAGATTAATGTAAACTGTGTTGAATTCACTGAGGATTTTTAGCTTTTTCCAGTGGACTTCACTTTTATTTCTACCTTTTTTTTATTGTCTTCGTGTAACCTTTGATTATTTTAGTTTTTTTTTTTTTAATCATGCCGATGAAACGCTGCAATGAGAGTTCGGCCGGAGATGGTGTGTATCTCATTCAGTCGTTTTCCAAAACTTTGTGTTGCTCATCAGAGAAAACAAACTCAGATATTAATGGACAGATTCAATTTCACCTGGAAGAGGACTCTGGCATTAAATCAGGTAATCTATGAA